CCACCATGAACACCAAGAAAAATCATCTCAGAGAACTTTTATTATCATCGACAGGTTCCGGTAACACAGAAACTAACCCTTTCCGATTCACTGTCCTCGATAGCTAGGGTTCTCAAGATAATGGGAGCTAGCTCTGAACTCTTGAACGGAGTCAGCCAAGGCAGCGCCCTTCATGGACCTGAATGAGGCATCTGCATCGCTGCTGTCACACTCTACGATCAATCTTACTGGAAGCTCTTCTTTTCAGCATCATAACTGTATTTAGAGCCTGAGCCGACGAGCGCTACGCTGAATATTCTCCTGCGATTCTCCTCCCAGAAGAACCTAACAATCGTATTTCAGCATTACCACTCGAGTTTCTGAGTGGCCTTACTCGTCATACAAGTTGATCAAGTCCTGCTTCTTCATGCCAGCGAGCTCCTTGGTCTCCTCGATGCAACCGTTCCAGTTGTATCGACTCTCCTGGACCTAAGGGTGAGACATCAATCCCTGGTGTCACCACTCCCCAGCACGGTTGCCGTACCTCACACCACATAGTCGTGGCCTCTTCCGTCAAGGTGCGTGGCGGCTCCAGCTTACTCCGTGCCAAGGACACAACATGTGAGGCGAAGGTTTCCTCACTCATGTCCACCAACACCGACTTCCTAAACTCTACGATGAAGTAAGCTCATTCAATCCGACTGCTAACCTGAAGTCTCGCAAGAACTCGTCTACTCTCTCCCATAGAGTTGCCGGGCCTGCAACTGCCGACTGCACGACCACCACGTAGCCGAGGACCTGACGGGTAGACGTATTATCAACAGGAGCCTTCCAAACCAGCCGACCCCTCCAGTGAGCCTAACGCCACAGAAAACACTGTATCCGAGTTGCTGCTTCGTCCGTAGTGTATCGAAGAGTGGCTCCTCCATGACAGACTCCAACAGGTCCAGCAGAACTCGTTCCCGAATGTTATTCGAAGAGCACTGGAAATATGTCTCCAGCTGAACGACGATGAACTCCGATTAATCGTCTTGTTCCTCTACTCACCACACTGTTTTGCTCTGTCGAGTCCTGAGTCTCTTCAAGGTACACTGTGTGACCCAACGGAATCTCCAAACATTGGAGACGAGGGAATTCGTTGGCCTAAATGAAGGTGTGGATAATTCCACTACGACAACCTCTTCTACAGCTGCTCCCCTTTTGCACAACAGCCTCGACCCAATCAAAACGTGGCTTACTTTCAGATGCTGGATTGAGTGTGCCTTCATCTCAGCCTCCACCATGCTTTCTATCTAACACCACTAACGATAGCGAAAAGAGGATCGTCGAAAGCAGTCCCACCTCCTCCACGAAATCCTTCTTGATGTTACCCAGCATGAGGCACTCAGCCTTCACACCGTGTTGCTTCACAGCACTGTCAAAGTCTCCCAGTATCTACAAA